CCCATCCTGGCCCTGCGGTTGGACTGTGGTGGGGCTTGAAGTGTGTCCCGGGGTAGGCCGAGATCCATTGGCAACATGCCTATAACTCTTGATCTAGCTTCCCTGTCAAACCTTCTTAAATGAACAGGCCTTTCCAAAATCAGCAACTCGGAAATTTGATTTCAGTAATGGCAGAAGAGCCCACTTTTAAAGGCTTCCTGCTAGGCAACCCTGGCACCAAGCACAAATCCAACAATGTCTGTATTTGTTTGCTTCCCCTTTTGGAGCCAAAACACTTCTCTCTCTGCTTGGTTATGGCTTTTACTATCCAAAGTCTCTGTAAATTGTTGGGTTTTTTTCTGCAGCCAGAAAGCCACAGTATAAAACCTAGATGATGCTAACAACTCATTTCTGTCTGCAGTTAGTTGTTTTTTAAGAAGCGATGGTGATTAGGCTCACGTTACACAAGAGGAGAGACAGTGCCATGGTAACACCTCCACAAACAGCTGCCCTGACGAAAAAACAAGTTGCTCTTAATTCCCTGCGTTTATTTGCTCAGTAAATCCAGAAGCATTCGGCCTGGGATTTTAAAGGATCGCTCTCCCAAGCAGGGATGAGCAGAGGAGCCAGGTGCCCCCTTCGCCAGAAGTGGCAGTAGCAGCCCCCAGAAAGGGGCCTGTGCTATTGTACTCTCTTGTTAGCACTCCATTGCCCCGCTTGGACGTTGTGGCTCTGCCTCACTGCACTCACAAGTCAGTGCTGTTACTGCACAAGTGAGGACAAAGTAGGGAGGTCTCAGGACATCAGTGCACGGGATAGTAAAAGCAGGGCAGTGTATTTAGAAAAGGCAATTGCTTCTATGCCTGAACTAATGGCCCACAGTAAATGCAGGTGACTCCTCCATACTGCTTCTCTAGGGGCAAGACCAGCACCACCCATCAGACATTGCCTGTCTGATGGCACAGCCCAAGGCACGTGCTGATGTCAAACATGGTCCCACACCCATTTTCATGGTGTATCCTGGCTGGGGCTGTCCAAAGAAGCAGTAAATTCACACAAAACTATAGATTGTCACATGCAAGGAATGTATTTCACTCATCTGTTGAACTTGCCTATCTGTTTTCTAACTGTATTTTTAACTTCTAAATGAGCTTTTACAAATAAGGGTAGGTGTTTGAGTCAGGCTATGGAACTGCTACATAATATAGGCCCCAAAATTGTGGCCTGTAAATCTTGCTTTATCACACACCATTCCAGTGCAAAGTCAGTTTTTTTTTAAAATACTCCTGAAGACAAAGAGCTTTGTAGCATTAGCAGAAGTAGGACAGTAGGGCTTATGGGAGTCTTCATTAAAAAGAAAATTGGTTTGTGGATTCGGAAACTCTTGTATTTTGCAATCCCAAACCTTCAGGAACCTGGGGGCTCAGGGTACCTCAAAGCCTGCTCCCCAGACAGTGCACGCCCATTTGTGAAACATATTGCAAACTGGTCTTTCTGCCAGCCGCCCAGCTGGGAGAGGAGGCTGCTCCTTCACTGACGGTATCAAAGTAATACTGGGGCTGGTACAAGCCTGCCAACAGCTGGGGCTTGCATGGCTCCAGCATCCCTGTGTTTTGGTAGGAGTTAGGTTCAGCTGTGATGTGAGACGAATATGCCAAGTTTTCAAACAAAGTGTAAGTCATAGGTTTTGGTGTGGATGTAAAGGCTCTCTCTTCATTTTGAGTAGGGCAAAGCCAGGAAGAACTTTGAACATCCATCTTATCTTCTGTTGGTGTAGAAGATGTCTGGCTACCCGGATGTAATGTCTGGGCTTCAGAGTTATTATCCACTGCTACTGCATCAGGCTTGCAGTCGTGTATTTTCAGTACTTTCTCAGAACCAATCTACAGGAGAGTCATAAAAAGAAATCAGCCCATGAAAGAAGCTCAGGGTAAAGGAAATGGAGTAATTACTTGAAATATTTCTAAAATTGCATTGTAAATTGTGAGTTTCAAATTTTCACAAAAATGAGCTGGTGGAAGCTGGATTTTTTAATCAAATAGTAATTTATCGAATTAGGAAATAAGAATTTATCAAATCAAATAGGAATTTATCAAATAGTATCCAGAGATTTTTTTTAAGTCTAATATGATTAAATTTAATGCAGTAAGAATAGATGCCTCTATTTTATAGCCTTGGTTATGGTTTCACTAGTTTTCAGTCTGAAGCAATAATTACTGGAGGGCAGCAGAAGTTTGCAGCTGTAGGTTTTACAGCTGTTTCCTTCAGTGAATTCTAGCAGCAAAACAGGCCTTGCTTGCACCTGTGCCAGGATGACAAAGACACGCTCCCAGTTTTGGGAGCCCTTGCGCCGTATCAAGACAGCGGCTCGGGGGCTGCAGGGGAGGCTGAAGTCTTCTGCTCACAGAAGCAGACCCACACCAGGGCCATGGAGGGGATATTGCTCTCATGTCACCAAAGTGACCGTGTGACAGGCAGCAAGGCAGGCGCAGCTCAGAGGCCATGGCAAAGTGCACGAGTCTAAGTGCTAAGTCTGTGAACTAAGTGAACAAGTTGTGCTCGGAGGTAATACTAAACGGTTAGAGCAGAACGAGCTGCCAGTGTCACTGGCTACGCTTTCGTGACTCCTTTGCAGTAAGGAACATCAGACTACAAAATGATCACTGCAAAAATCACAAGAAAGAACAGTTTTACACAAAACAACATCAACCACGATCTTCAATCACATTTATTCCTGTACAGTGAGTGTCACTCCTTCTTAAATGCTGTCAGGACAGGAAAAGAATTTTTTTTGTGAAACTTTTCTAATCAAAGATTGAAAAAAAAATACGAGATTTGATCAGTGATCTTACCACAAGGTCTTTAAATGAAAGTACTTTGCTCTTGTTAGGACTAGGTACTACAGGACAGCAGCATGCCTTCACCCTGGGAACAAGACAGGAAAAATGAGTTTTTTGTTCTCTCATCAAAGCTTATTCTACCAGCAGAAGCAACCCTTAGATGTGTACAAAAACAGTGGGACATGATGAGTGTCTCGGAAATGCCGCAAGCCAAACACTTACAACATCCACATTCAAAGGAAAAAAATGAATGAGACCTTGTAACAGGCTGGAAGAGACAAGCTGCAGCTGTGGGTTGTGAGTTACACTAGTTACATTCTCTGTCCACAGGAGAAATAAAAAAATGCATTATAACTTACCACTTCATCTTCCAGTGGCATAGAGCTGCTGCAACTGAAGGAACTATCACCAGCAGGCCTAGGAGGTACAGTGTGTTTGCTGGGAAAGAAAAAAACTTTAAAAATTTGTTCTTGCTTGTTAAAAGTCAATACATCCTGAGTCTCTGGGACAAAACAACTTCCTAAGGTCCATGTGGGATACCAGCCACTCACTCAGCACTGAAATTGTGTGGTCTGTGGTTTGTAAGTGATTACTTACAAAAAGGATATTTTGGCTTTAGATCTGGGATACAGTTATATGTTTTTGAACATTAATTCCTCTTACAAAATTGAAATATTACCAGATTGCTTTTAATTTGCACTCTGCTTGCATTGGCTTCTTACCTGAAAGCAAATTATCGAGAGTTAAGGCAGTAAGAATCTCACTTAACACTCGGTTTTCAGGTTTTCTCTCAGATCCCACAAAAGGATGACAAGGTTGTTACGGTGAGACAAGAGCGAAGTAAACTCTGCCTCCAGCAGGGTCAGACTCTATCACAATAGACACCAGCAGTGTTTTTCCCCTCCCAGGATTTTATGCTGCCACAGGAATCTCAGTATTTCCGTTGGGTTTGCAACGGCAGCCTTGGGGGTGTTTGTATGAACTGCTGAGGCGGCTGCGTGAGAGGGGCAGCGCTGCGAGCGGCGCGGCCCTCAGCGCCGCGTGTCCCCGCCATGAACCTCGGCAGGGGCCTTGAGCTCCTTGATTCCTCACAGGTACATCTAGAAACGGGCCGGCCCAGTGCCGGCTCCCTGGGCAGCAGTACAAGGGAAGCCTGGAGAGGAGAGGCACAAGTGTCTCTGCCCACCACAGGTCAGGGGTAGCCCCAGAGCCAGCGTCAAACACCAGGTTTATTTCCACCAGCCTATGGTGAGCCCTTTCCTCCTGCTCACTCTTTGCTCCACCTCAGACAAATGCTTCAAAGCGAGTTATCTCCCACCTGGAGCACAGGTCCCAAAAACCTTGAGATTGGTGAACATGTGAGTTCCTGCTCTGCTTTGAAGATTTGTCCAGACTGCTCAAGCCAAGAATCTTCTCTTACTGACTCGTGAAGTAATTCATTCATTAATGGATTTAAAGAGTGATATGAATAAATATCAAAATCAGAAATCTATAAAAATCATTGCACATATGTTTGTAAGTTTTTAATAGATCACAAAACTAGCTAAGCACAAATTAAATTCTTTAATGCATCCTAGCAAGCAGGACTCACTCGCCAAGCAGATATGCATGCATGAGACTGTTTCCAAGAATATGAAATTTAAAGAGGTGTAAAATTCTTTTCACTTCTAAATTACAAAGATGTATTAAAAGCACCAAATATTGTGCTGTTATGTGCATTTTAGTTCCCAGTTGGATCCTTTCTTGAAGGCATGTTAGCTAGATTTTTTTTTTTTTTTGTGGGAAATGAAGATTAATCTAACATCCTCCTCTCCTTTACCCAGAGACAATTGTCAATACTCACTATCAAATGGTGTTTCAATGTAGATAAAGTTGGCAATGGGAGTCTCTCCTCCACCTGTATATGCTTTAACCGCTAGTTTGTATTTGGTATTAGGCATGAGGTGTCTCACAGTGTATCTCTTTTCTTCTGGGTTTTCAATTGTGTATTTACATAGCACCGAACCGTCTAAAATGAAACCAGATGTTACAAATCAGTGTAAGTGAGACCACTAAACCACTGGAATAACAGAAGGTTTACGAGTCACCTTCTTTTCAGTAAGGGCACTTTCCTCTGCGGAAGCTGAGGCATCCTGACTCCCTGCCACTGAGCACTCCCTGCTCACATCCCCGCTACCTCGCCTGCCAGCAGTCCAGCTCGCCCTGGCAGACCACCTACCCACTGTCTGACACCCCACTCCTGCAACTATCTACTTGCATTTACTTTTACTATGGCTTTCTAAGGGGAATTGAAGTGGTCCAAAACCGTAAGCTGAAGTGTGCCACAAATATTTGTTGTCTAAAGTTCTAAACACCAAGTTTCAAAGGAGAAATTAAAAAAAAAAAAAAAAAAAAGTCCCTGCCTCTCCATTAGGCAATTCCAGAGCCCAGGGAGAGAAGGGGCAGCTTCTTCCTCCTGCTGTGGGTGACACCTGTTATGTGCCAGCTCAGGCAAATGGGGAAGCAGACAATCTTTGTTTTAAGTGTCTTAAACTCTTACTAACTGGGATTACTTGCAAAATTAGGGTACCACTGTGATTAATTTAATTTTGGTAGGAACTATGGCATAAGCCTCCTTCAATTCAAACTAAGTGTTTCAGCCTGGTACTAGTCTAATCAGCAGAAAGGATCTGAAACAGGACATGAACTGCCTGTGAGAAGAGGAAAGGGGAGGGAAAAAGCAAAGCATCAACAAAAAATATACTCTTGGATGTGTTGGAAATACATGGAAAAAATCAATGCATCTGTAGCAACTTGGGATATGGAACAGGAAAATCGGAAACCAAAGATTAAATGTGGCTTTGTGCCACATCCCAGCTTAGCTCGTCTGCACAAGGAACTCCATGGTAGAGCACAGCTATGAATATTTTCATTGTAAAGGAATTTAAATGGGGAATTTCTACAATGTTCCAACTCTGAGGCATATAAAAGGCATCCCATCTGTTTCTAGAATAAGCTAAATCCTAGTAAAACTGACATGCTTCCTATGAGTCTCATCCAAGTTGACCACAAACAGATGTTTCAGAAATTCATCCAGAATCCAGGGTGCAAGAAGCAGAAACCTGACTCCTGCTGTGGTACTGCAGGAATCTGTTCTAAAGCTAAAGGAAGATACAAGTCTGTATAGTGCCAGGACTGCTTCTCCCCATTAGCACGTCAAACATTAGGGAAGAATCTATATTGTGTCAGTTTGCCCATCTAATTTGAATTTTCCAAGAGATTGCAGTACCAGTTACATCCATACACAGACTTTTACCTCTACCAACGACAGAGCTTCCCAGGTCAGTTACCTGGAAGAACGTGTTTTTTGGATTCTTTCAGACTGCAGTCCTCTTGCACAGGAGACACATAAACATGATAGCCTCTTATAAAGCCAGGCTGTGACGCAGTTGTGGGATAAGACTCCCAAGACAGTGTTACTGCATGGAAAGTCAGATGAATTTTTTTCACAGGAGGGTCAAGTGTGGGGGCTAGAAGAAAGGAAACGGATGTTAGACAGGCCATTTGTGCCTGAATTTCATGCCTGAAAGAATTCTAAGTTCCCAAGCCGTTTAAATCCTACTTATATTTAAAAGTTTAACACATTCAAAGCACTCCAAAAACCTGTCAGCTTCACAAAGCAGTCACATAACCCACCTTCTACACACAGTTCTCATCCAGGACTAGATGATCTCTAGAGGTCTCTTCCAACCTCAACCATCTGTGAGTCTGTGAGCCGCGCTAACATGGACTCTGCCTGGTCACTGCACTAGTTAAACATCCTCTGCATAGGCCATTTACATTGCTTCACAACTCGTACGTTCTTCACCAATGGTACAGAAACAACACAGCAAATGCTGTTTTAACTAGTGACAATAAAAAGCCTGTGAAATACGGTGCCAACTTACCGAGCTCCTTGAGATAACCAGTCTTCTTCTCCAACAAGGAGGCTGTGTTAGCAACAGATCCATAGATACGGAAGTTGTATCTCACCCCCGGCACAAACGAAGCTAAAAAAAAGAGTTAGATATCAAAACTATGTGTTCCTCCTCACAGAGAGTCACTCCCAATCACATTACCCAGGTACGGCCCAATGAGGGACCAGACAGCATATTCTCTACTAAGACTCTCACCACACTCTGTCAGTAAAGAGGCTTCTATGAAAGAACACTTCATGTGTTTGTATTAATTGAAATGCAGCTTGTTTAATGCACATGGAAACGTGTTCAGTGAATTTTTGATCCAACATGCTTTATTCCAAAGTGGACTCAGCTGGCAGAGCCTTGAGGAAGGCTATAATCCTGCAGTTGCACAAGTGGATCAAAATGACTTCATACATCCAGAAAGAACTTAGGTCTAATGGCTACCACGAGGACAGAAACACACAACTTATGCTAAGCAAGGACTGGTGCTGAGACATCTCTCTGTGGCGCCCGCTCTCACTAAGCTCCCACTAAGTGTGTCTAAACTTCTGGCCTGTGCTACAGGTAAGGCAGAGCGCTATTCTGCTGCTCTTGCTGAAAACAAATTTTGAAGATTTTGAACTCCTTCATTAACCTCACTACCCTCCTTCTAGGCTTTACCACAGGCTCCTCAGAAGTGGCTTTGCCAAAATATTAGACTAATTTCTGACAAATAGGGTCAGTGTTGCTGATGTGTGTATGGTGTCTGATCTGGCTATTAGGCAAACACAATTCTACCCCCTTTCTACCCCCTTTCAAAGAATTTCAGCATTCCACAGGATTTGTATCCTAAATTAAATTAAGACACAGCGAATGAGAAACAACATAAGAAAAAAAAAAGATTGTTCTGCTTTCACCTGAGCTGATCAAAGCACTGGAACTGCTGGGCCCAAATCTCTTCCACTGAAGATCACAGGGCTGCAATGCTGGGAAGTTACACCAGTCAACGATGTAACCATCATATGTATTTCTAGGTTCCCAGGAAAGAAAAATGCCATCATCAGCACCAATAACCTGGTCTTCTTTAAGATTTGAAATGCTGAGCTCGTTTTCAGTGCCTATTAATAAACAAAACAGTATTTATATTATTTTCCAGTATTTGACCACTGATGCGTTAATGAGGGTTGAAACAGTTTCTCTGCTGAGCTGTTTAAACACTGATAAATCAGTGTGTTCCACCATTAACATGTATATAGACATATGGCTCTTTCATACATGGAGAGATGATCTCTATCTGTAAGAGCCTGATTTCTCAAAACCTAGCAGTGAAATTACTCTGCATTTGTACAAAGAAATGAACTGCAGAAAACGCAGCTGTAAATTGTAAGCAAGAGACATAGGAGGATGATCACGTGCAGAGACTCACGTGAGACATTGGCTGCATCTATGGCACTTGCTGCAGGACTAAGGCCAAGTTCTGAGCTAAACATTTTAATCTATGTAGATTCCTGGGGACACAGACTTTTTGCTAAGGGGGATGGATCGAGGTACCTCGGGTTAATTTGCATATAGCTACCACTTTAGAGGCCAAAATACAACAGTAATTTCCAAATAGTAACAATTTTAGTTAAAAGGCCAGGTTAATTTATTTACCCAAGATGATAAATTACCACTTCACATAAAATAGGTAGAAACAAAACTTCTGTAAAGGAAATCTAAACTCAGCAGAAAATATTGCTGTTACCTGTAGCTCCAGGGATGATCATTACTGAAGGAAGTGAATAATTAACATTGTTCTTTGCCACAACACTGATTTTATAAGGATCACTATCAATGAAAATCCTTGTGGTATTATAGACTGATGAAATGGAGATATGCTCAGGCTTAGAGTCCTCTTCAACTTTTTCCCAGGTTATTTCATATGAAATACTTCTTCCATTTGCTTGAAAACTTGGTGTTAGCTGGTGGAAAAGTTATGTGGGTAGCAGCAAATTTTAAACACCAATTACTTACTAAACTATTGTTCCAATAAAACAGTTTACTTTTGTAATCACAAAAGCACTTTCTTGCATACATGCATAAAAACATTAGCCGAAGTGTAAACATGGAAATCTCAGTAATGTAATTTGTCTTGTTACAGTGTTTGGAAAACTATACATATCTATGTCTGAAATGCCAGGAAAACACACCATCGTACAGCCACATAAGTTCTGAAATATATTACATATAATCTTCTCAGAATCTAACAAAAGTACTTTTTCATACTGAGTTGTTATTATGTATTATACACATGGACTGGTTAAAGCTTTGGGGAGAAGTTTCCAATTCCTTTATATAGAGGTTCATTACTGTTTCTATCCCCACATCTCACCTTCCAGAATAAGGTCACATTCCGCCCACCCAATGCTGGTATAATTTCTCTCCAGATGTCCAGTTTCCCTGACGGACCTGTAATAAACATAGCAAAACAAGACATTCTAGGTGCAGAGAGGACAGTTTATTTCCCCCTCTTCGACGAGAGTCAGCTTCCCAAATCTCTCCTTCTGGATAAGTCTTGCCAAAACTTCATCCTTTATTTTCTTGCTTTTTTTTGTTCTTCTGTATGAATATCTGCCTCATTTCCCTAGAAATCTTCTCTTTGCTTGCAATTCACGAGTCTTTGTTTCCTCTCCTGCACAATTTCTCAGGCCTGCATGTCTCAGTGCCTGCCCTGGATGAAATGATAGAGACTGGCAGGTAGGAAGAGAACCGTTTAAGCCTCCTTCCTAAAGTTTGCTTAAAGTGCTTTCATACATGCAGCAAGCCTCTGTTTTAGCTACACAGCATAAAAGGAGCTGTAAATAACAAGTAGCAGTGGCAATCAAAGACCAGCTTTGAAGCTCCCAGTCCCAAAAGGCCAGACGTACTTGCTTCCTCCGTCCTGAAGGTTTGGGCCTTGCTCCATTCACTCCACCTCCAGAAGTGCTGGGCTGCCCCGCAGCGCACTCGAAGTGTGTACTGGGTGTATGGCTGCTGCCCCCCCACGGTGATGCTGCCGTATTGGAGGTGCGTGCTGGAGCTGTTGTGCTGCAGGACAGAACAACAGAGCAGTTTCATGAGAAAGGGGCTTCTGTCTGAGGAACTAGTTTTGCCTCTAGATCCTACAAATAGCAGGTTAAGCTCAAGAAGGAAAATGTAATTATGGAGCCATGGTCAAGAGAAAAAAAAGAAATATGGCAAAAGATCCAAAGACTGGAATGCTCAAACAGAGGTGTGCAAGCCTCCTTTATAAAACGGTCTGATTAGAAATCTTTCACAAAACCTATACGATGACCACTGTTAACATCACGGCAGAGGTAATTTACTGAGACCTTGTCCTCACCCTACCTGGGGCTCTTACTCATGTCACATCTACTGCTGCCTTTTCTTTCCCTTTTTTGCCCAATCTTCCCTTCCATTTCTCCTATGAGCTAGGGTGAGTTCTGGTAAAAATTAAAAAGTGAGCATGCCTTTCACCTCTTCTTCACCTCTTTTGACTGTCTCTTGCAGCGGTAGCAGCCTGTAGCAGCCATTTGATCTAACCACTCTTAGGCAATACTGCAGACAAAATACAGGTTGCTCACGATCTTTATAATATCCTTTTACACACTAGAGATAAACTGCCTTCAAAGAGAAGAAGACCGAAGGATAAATCACAATACCTATGCGAACAGCTGATCAGCCTCACTGTTTATGAAAGATGTGGAACAAGATTAGGACTCTGTTAGGTTTTTTCTTTCTCAAGGAGTGGGAAAGGATGGAAAGAAAAACTAAACTTGGGTCCACTACTAGGAACCAGACAGGCCAATAGTATCCAGAAAGCTCCTGGACTAGGAGCAGAAAAGCCTGCTCCTTCACCACACCTCTCTACCTCTTGCTTATAAGATGATATGAGTTACAGAAACATGAGCAATTGAAATTATCAATAGCCACAATAACAGCAATTATAAGGCCCATTTCTATTTTCTTCTATTTCAACAAACCTTGGTCTGCTCAGCAAAGGACATATCTACCCATGCACAGCAGACAGGGTAGTATGTTGGCCAGCAGTATAGGAAGTGCCAACATTAATCAGCAGTCATTAATTCATACCCATGTGGATGACATGATCAGGGTAGACAGAGCCTGGGAGCTCTTATCTGGAAGAGAGAGCTGTTTACACACTGTGAGTATTCAAATTGCTAGAGAAATATTTTTTTAATCTTAAATCAGAAAGATATTTACTATGTTTTTTTGTGTATGAAATTCAGGTTTCATACCAGTTCTGTTTTCCCATCAGGGTGGAGCACTTCCGTCTGACAAAAGAGCTCAATTCCTTTGTTTCGATGTTTCCAGTACAACATGATTTTTGTATCCGAACAATGTCCAAACAGCTCGGAGGGTGCAGAGGGATGAACTGCCAGTAGAAAGTACAGGTTTGTTCTTGTAAAACACATAATGAATGAAAGATTTTGAAGTATTTTAATTGAGGAGTAAAAGCATGCAAGAAATACTGCCTAACATATTTCTGCCTGTTTAGGCAGATAGGTAGATATAAATCAGTAAAAATTGATTTCTGAATGTAGGCATATCCTTGTAAATAAACATCATACAAGTTAAAAATAAACAAGTAAAAAACACTTGTGCTGACTTTGGGATAATTTGGAACATCACAAGCAAAAGACACAGTCAGAGACTTTTTCTGCAAACCCAACAGAATTCATGGTCTGGGCAAGGCAGCAGTTCTCAAACCTTCCCAGACAGTCAACTCAACCACAAGAAATAAGACACAATGATATAAGTGATATAAGTGCAGAATGTGCTTATAGGTGTGGTCTACTATGTTAGAGCTCCATGCAGCATGAATTACAAATAGAGGAGTTTCAGAATCAAAGTTGTTCATGTTTGACACAGAAAACCCTTGCTGTCATACACAGAATTGGAATGATGTACTTCATTTCCTTTATTTTATGACTTTTTTTAAATAGGCCAAATTATAAACTAAATATTGCCAGAATCAGAAAAAAAAAAATAAAGGACTGTACTGCGATCACTACCTAAAAGATTAATCCATAATAAATATTGTACATATTTCTGTAACAATAATCAGATTGGAAAAAAAAAGTTGATCTTTAGTGTTTATAACCGTGCGGAATGTAGTCTATTTTAGCCTGATATTTCCCCATTAATATTAATTTATAAAATTGTGTTGTCTCTCTACCATCTGCCAGTTTCCTCGTCTACTCACTTCTTGCTCCATTTATTCCTCCCTCAAAGAATCAAACTGCCAACTTTCAGAACTCATAGGCCTCCTCAAGCCAAATTGAACAACAGCAGCCAGTGAAATACGAATGAAGGAAGCGCTGCCAGAACCCAAGAGTTACACCACAGACTCATGGTCCATCAGCTTCACAACCAAAATCATGAACATGCTACCTCTGATCTCCTCAAACAGGAAGGGTGCGGAAGGGCCCTGGAAACTCTGTGAGGTGGATGTGGTGGGTCAAGAGAACGCAAGGAGAACTGGAAATCCTGCTGGAGTCACAGGCTCCTGCTGGAGCCATGTGTTTTGAGGTGGAGGTAGATCATGTGGAACTTGTGGAACCTGGGGCCTCTGTGTTGGGGCACACCGTGATAAAAGACATAAACTAACAAGAAGAAAAAAGAGCTACAAGCATTAGTTACTGCTCACACTTGTTTTATTTCACTGATGCTTGAATGCTCCTCTTCCCTTACACTAGCAGGGCAGGTGTTACTGTCCCATATTAGTTGTGCACCAAGGCACATTAACATCTTCCCCGCTCTCTTGACTTACTTTTTCAAAGCAAGCATCTTCATTTTATTTTGGATAGAGGGTAACTTCAGTAATAAGGAGCAATAATTTTCTGGAGAAATAAATTAATTCCCAAGTTTTCTACAGAGATATTTGTCTTGAATAAAAAACTGTATCTTTGTATTGTTGTTTTCCACACTATTAACCCTCTCCATCAAAGTGGCAGATTTTGAAACCAGAATGTGTCATGTCAATAACTAAATTTGACCTTTGGAATAAAGTTGGTTCCTACTATTAAGAGAATTTTGCAAAGCTGAAGCTGAAATGGCAGCAGGTAACTATAGCACAGAGAAATATAGCTAATAGAAACTGAGAAGGCAAAATACAGGACTTCTTACTTCTATATTTAAATTTGCAACCAAGTATTAGGGTAAATAAGAGGACAGGGCCTTCAACAAAGAAACAGAAAAGGCCTTACTTCTGTGAGTTACATCAAAAGCATCCGTGGCAGTTTTCTTTCCCAGTGGGTTTTCAACAGTCAGCATGATATTATAGACCCTCTGCTGGTTTATATCCCAAGAACATGAGCACCGCTTAGAACAATTTACTGTGCATGGAATCAATTTTTGGGCAAATCTATCAAAGAAGAAGGGGGAGGGGGAAAGAAAGATGGTTTTCCTTAATGTAGAATCAAGACAGATTGAAAATGCTTATGTCCAAGCAGAATATAGCTTCATGGAAAATAAAGCTGAAGCTATGAGAGGCCACCCAATTCTTTCCCCTACTCCAAAGTAGGATGAATGTAGGTATTCTTGCAATTAAAAGAAAGCCTTCTTTCTTCCTACTTCTTTTCCTTTTGGGATACAACTAAATGTATCAAGAATTTCAACTCACACTTACAGCTTTCTAAATTAGGGACTTGATATGCCAAGAATTAAACCATTCTTGTGGTTATAGTTAAACTTTTAAATAAAACAGTAAAACAGTGTATCTTTTTTATTTTTTTCATCAACATCATACTCTTTTAATGGAAATGAATGATGCAGAGACTATGAAGTTAGTATGCAATGATGACCTGTCTTATCTAACAAAAGTCTGTCATGATACTCTTTCTCTTGCAGTCCCTGGTGCAAGGCCCCACTTCTCTCCTAGGGATTTAGCTGCCGGGGTAGCAAGGAGCCGAGGCTCAGCTCTGATATGCTACAGCTGCGTAACCTTGACCCAAACTGCTGAGAAAGATCTGGGAGAAAGTCTGTAGAGACAGAAGTAAAAATCACACACAGAAGCAGGATTGTTGAGATGAGATTGTCAGTAGCTCAGTAGGTCAAGAAGGAAAACACTAGCATAAAGAGTTATAAAATCCTAAAGGTGAAGAAACAGGGAAGCTAGTTACTCTAATTGTGGCTAGTTAGGAATCATCAGCTTGAGTCAATGGTGCCATCATCAGTCCTAAGGGGTATGAACATCCTAAAATTTAGCTTGAGATCTTAAATCCTGGTTATCTTTTGTGTTACAGTTGCTTTGTACTTTTATGTTATATAGGATACGATTTGTAGTGTGTCTTCATACCTAGCTAAAGATATCCAAGCAAAATGAACAAAAAGAAGTGCTCTTACACCGTGTATAAAGCAGAAGCTAGTCTGACAGACCTGCAATTTGTTACAGCTGGTCTAACTAAGAGCACAGATTTTAAAGAACAGAAAGAAATTGATTGTTGTTCTGTACACCACAGACTGGAGTTGGATGTAACTGCAATGAGACTTACTCTTCAAAAAAAGTGTATTTTGTCGAATGCGGTCCGTAGAGATGGGTATCTCCTCCTTGGCTCCAAGTACATATTATCTTTTTCATGTCTCGAGTGTGGCAGGAAAAATCATGAGGTAGATCAGGTGGTTCTTGTTAGGGGGAAAAACAAAAAGCCAACAGCATGAAAATTAAGACAAAAGTCATCAACATTCTCACTATATTTACAAACTACAACACTCAAAGTGTACAAAGCCTGCTTTATGGCAGATGATATTGTTTCAATTGCACTTATTCAATGACCACTCCCTAGAGTAAATCAGAACAACACTACAACTTAATTGCATTTCAAACACTTCTATAGAGATGTAGTTTTTGAAATTAATAGATTAATTAATTGGAATGTTTTTCTACACAAAGCTTACTACCATTTTCTAGCAAGGGGATGGCTATGTTGAGCTTTATTACATGCACTAGTCCAACTAGGTTGGACACAAACAGATCTATTTATGAAATTATTCACTTGTCATGGGATCAAGTCACCAAATGAATCTGAGCATCTCTAAAACAGCATGTTCTATTCTATAATGTTTTCTGCATGCAAGTGACCTTACAGAGCTAAAGTCAGTCATTCAGCAGAGTTCAGCAAGGCATAACAGGACAGTGCCAGCTTACAGCAAGATTTTGTTCTGCTACCTCCTCACCACAAGTCATCCTTGACTTAATAGCAACAGGAAAACAGAACTGAACTAAAGCGTTCCCTTACTGCCCACGAAGAAGACTACATAATGGTAGTGGTCCCCTTTTCCGCCAGACTCTTGACAGAACACTGTGACGTGAGATGGTTTTTGATGTGCCACTGTTTTTGCAGTGAGCAGTCCAATTTGAGAGTTTGTGCGACTGAAATTATGAACAGCTGGCAATGAAAAGAATTCCATAATGATTTGACCTTTCCTCACAATGCAGCAAAGAGTAATGTCAGAGCCTTCCTCTATAACTTTTTCATCTGGAAAGATTTGTGGTTGACTGTAATTTGAAGTGCCCAGGCCTGTAAATTAACACACAATAAAGCATTTCAAAATCTGCTCGAGGTGGGATGTCAATCTGAATACTTAACTAACCATTTATACAAGCACGTGCTCATGTTATACTATCGATTCATGTGCTTTCATACAGCTTTCTTCACTATACAGGGATCAGCTAGATATGCAATCACACCTAAGGGTCTATTCCCATTCATTCCCTTCACATACAACTTAGTTCAACAACCTATTTAAAAGATATGATGAAGTCTGAATTCATTACCTTTCAAAGAGCTCTGAATCAGGTCTTAATGTGGGATTAGTTTGTGTCAAGGAAAGAGTATTTTTGATTCCTATCCACTTTCAATTAAAAAATAAAATGTCCAAGATTGAAGTCAGACTGAAAGGCGAGTATTGCACCTCCACTTCCACTGTACAAGGCAAGGAAGAGGGGCAATTTGCACGCTACAATCCAAGTATACAGACCTGTACTCCTTTTATAATCTCAAACTGTTGTTGATCCAGACAAGAACACAATTCTTTTACAAAACCATTCTAATATTTTTTTAGTGTGAAGCACAGAACAACAGATATCTATTTGTTTAAATGATTTGAATTCCCTGGAATATGTTGTTGTTCCAGTAAGATATGTTGTAATCTGAAGAAAATCTGTTTCTTGCTGTATCATTTGAGTACGTGTTTAGTCCACCCCCATATGTTCTCACACAACTCACAGCAGGTCTGTCCCAGTGGCATAAGAAGCTGACTCGCTCCTCCCTCTCTGCTTCTTTCATACTAGGCAGAGCTATGACCCAAGACAAAAGAAACATTCAAGCAACAGATGATGCAGCCACAGCTGTGCACTTCCTCTCCCCTGGCCTGACCCAGTGATAACCTAAGCTACAGCCAAGGCTCCTGCCTTGGGCAACAGCTAAAGTTAGGTGAGCAGGCCAAAACTGCCTTTAGGTTTCTACATTTCATTGCATGATAAAAAGAGGCTTCACAAAACGCCCACACACATAAAAAATCTACTCAAACCCAAGCTCCCGGTCCACTCAGTGTGCTACCCTGTTTTAATGTGTGAGCACGAAAAGCTCTGAAACTTTCCACCTGCTATCTGAGGAAACAGTCTGCAAATCAAGACAAGGGTTGAAGTAATTACTCTTACTGCCAGCAGAAAGGAGTTGGTTGGTGCTTACAGATGAAATGGTCCAAAACAAATTATTGATTTGATGTTCGCTCTCCTGAATTGGTCACTATCATTAAAATCATCAGCAAATAAAAATCTAGCATTCCACTGGCAAAAATAAAAAACAGTGTGCCAAGTCTTATTTTGCTTACCCAGGATGGTCTCCCACAGACTCCACTGACTCCAGATTTTTGATGCTTCTGCTTTACTCCTGATTCTCACAGAGTGTGCCATACACTCCAGAGGTAAGTCTGAATCCCAGTTCCAATGAAGAGGCTTCCCTGATTTGTCAAGTGTGACATTATAAAACTCCTATAAGCACAGGCAGGTCAGGCAGAGTATTAAAATCACAGTAATGCATATATATTTGGAATTACAAGCAAGCACCATGAGAGAGAAAGCAGGCTTGAAGGAGGAAAATGCATTTGAAAATATCAGTCTATGAAATCCAAGCTGCCACATGTGATCTCATATTCTCAGAGGTCTAAGTGACTGCTTAAAAATCTGTACTAGCAATAGTGGAGTGACCGAGATGTTGGCAAGACTACTTGATAACAACATCACTGTGAGACAGGCCCTGCTTCCCAAGAACTGGATTTGCCTCCAGAGACTTTCATCAGATTCCTTGTGCCTGCTGTTACAGCAGCCTGCATACACACACTGCTGCCTGGAGGTGCAGCTTGTCTAAAGTGCTGGTGTACGTATCTCTGGTTCTGGATTACAGCATGCATTTGCATTGGCCAAGGAATTACGTAGATATTATCTCACTGTAGTTCACAGAGGTTGCAGACAGTATTACCACTAGCAACAAGCTGAGAAGTACATGCAGGTTTTCCCGGAAGTCTTCACTGTTGTAAAATGCAAATGCAAGAAACATGAAAAAAAAAAAAAAAACTTAGAGATCCAGAAAGCTGTCAGGAAGAAGATGGCCTAAAGTTTAAAACAGAACTGAAAAAAATTGAGTGCAAAAATGCTCCATAATTTGAGGAACATATTTGTATTGAATTATATGAATCTCTACTGGTCCCTTACAGAAAAAAAACCCTTCCAAATTCCTCTCGGCATGTACGTTCTCAGCCCACCTTGGCCTTCAAAAGGTTGTACAAATACTCCACCTTGTAACTCAGACTAACAAGGGCACCAACTAGTCACACAAACAGATAAGGATGAAAAGCTTCCCCCACCCGTGTGTGACTGTTCTCTGGCACAAGAGTCCATAAGAAGCAGGAAGAAAGGACTCAAAACAGTTATATTCATGGCCCGTAATTAAAAATAAAAGCGACCATGCCAGATTCTCAGCACAGAGATCAGTGATGCTCCAATGACCTCCATCAGGGCTGTGGCTCGCACCGACAGCTAGAGTGCTGCTTTCCTTTGGCGCTTTCCATCAGCAGCAGCTGCACTTTCATAATAGCATTACTCTGACAGACATTCTGCAATCATTTTACAATTTTGGTCTGAATTATAGCACTCAGGAATGCAGCTGCTGCTTTTAAAGTTCTATAGACTGTACATGCTTTGGCATGAGCAGATTCAAAGTTTTGTTATTGATTCAGAACAAGAGAGAAAAAAAATGCTTTCCTGTGTGGTAGCAATACCCAAAATACCCTATTTATTTTCCAAACCATATTTTTTGCGAGTACCAGTACAAGCTGCATCCTTAGATTTGCACAGCTCTGTTTTTCTTCCTGCAAGCTAACAGATTTTCTTGGAAGATTATCCCAAACAAACATTTTATTTTTGGAGATACATGATCCCTCTTTGCAATTTCAGGGTTAGATCTGTCCAGGAAGTGTTGATGTGACCAATATCTTCTGGACTACACATAGCTCTTTTGTAGTGAAGTTGTGGTCCTTAAGCTCAGAGAGACGAAAAACTGGCTGATCAGCAATAAGTTATGACTCTTTTAACAGTGTCCATCTTTTTTTCTTTACTCTTGATTTCAGAAAAAAAAAAAAAAAGCTTTTCTGTTAACAAATAGCAGCTTTAAATGAGCTAGAATAGTTTTCCAATTTTACTCTTTTTTCACATATGTATTTACTTTTCTTCCAGTTAGATCAGGAGATGACTCATAAAAAAGCTATAAAATCCCTAAAACTTGCATTTAATTCTCCAAAGATATTGTAAAATCCAAAAGAGAGAGAAAAAAATATCTTATGATATAGCAGTTCTCACAGTGAAGTCATGGACTGATGAAAATACGAGAATCAGGCTTAAAAGCATAATGATTTGGGTGATCATATCTGCACTTTCTGACAACACTGGCCTGGTTCAGGTGATAAGATGGGCTAGGACTTGCCACAGGAGACATCCCTATCTTATTCCCTAACTATAAGCTTTGGATATAAGGCAATTGCTAGCAGTGCCAAACCCAAGCCTTATACAACCTGGGTAATATTGAGACTGTTTGGTTCCTAAGATGAATTGCAACAACACACGACTTCTGCTCAGTTAATCACTAGTGAAGAGTAGTAAGTCAGGGAACTTGCACCTTCAAAGGTGAATAGAGATCTTTAAAAATCAGATCTCCCAAGCCTGGCCACTACTGTACCTGAATAAGGATGTGCAAGGCGCAGCTACACTCTGCACAGGCAGAAATGACCCCCTTCTCTGAGCCAGTGCTTTGTTTTCACTGCAACTGGACATAACATTAGGCCAAGTGTGGCAACTCCTGAAATATGGAGGTAGTTCTAGTTCGGTTTGGGAAATATTATGTTGTAAATGGTAAACTTAAACAATAGTGCAACATGTACATGCATCTGAACATTTGATTTTGTTTCAAACTCATCCATATAGAAGACATCTAAAATATCCTTTTTTGTTTAAATACACTTACTGTCCACACAGTAGTATTTTCTCCTGTTCGATTCACTTGTATTTCAAAAGACATTGACAGCTCAGCATCATGTGCTGACTTGCCAACATCCCATTCCACCTGCAGACACTGAAGAGGCAAATCTTTGGAAACACGAAGGTATGTTACTGGAAACACGAGGGATTCCAGAAGCACAAAAATGATACAAAATTATTAATGGTTTTGTATGCTTCTGTCCTTCAAGTGTGTTTAAGCTACACGAGACCAAAGGCTCCATGACAGTATTCTCATGAGAGCCATTAGTCAGGCTGGGGAGCAAGTAGTTTGACATATCAGACCCTTCTCCCATCTCTGACACCGACTCTCTCAGGGTCCAACAGAGGAGGTAGCAAAGGAGAATTCTGAAAATAAAAAAAAAAACAAACCCAGACCCTAAAGAAAAAACTCTCTATTTTTTGCTATCATAAGCAACAATTAAATTAAGACATTCGTAAGTACCTTCCCAAAGCCCATGCTGATTATAAACATTTCCAAGGTGATGCAAACTGCAGATGCTTTTGAAAATTTACTTTATGTTTACCATACTGATAAGGCAGACTTGAAAAAAAAACAGTGACGAGAAATGATAGGTCCCACACCAGCCAGCTCAGAAGAAGCCAAAAGTACAATGAGTAATCCAGAGGCTCACAGAGTTTATATCAAAAACAAAGATAATCTTTTGTCTTTATGCATCAAAAAGCTAGAATGGAGCTCTTAAATATATCCTCACCATGGTCTTCATCTTTCTATTTAATTTCATTATGTCATCAATTTACTAGCTACATTATCAGACTATCAATCATTCCTTTTTTTCCAATCTTAAGAGAGAAACAACACAATATATAACAACACAAATAGGGAAAAATCTCAGGAACCTCCTGCCTCCAGCAAGCCCTTTAATTGTCAGGACAGAAAATTCAGGCTCACTTTTCTCTCTGACCTAATGAAGATTAATTTAGTTAATGCAAATCAGGCGTTTGAAAAGGAAAGGCTAAGAGTTTCCCTTCGCTAGGTAGCTCAGACCTCCGTGTAGCTTTAGGCACATTCCTGATTGCTCTGCACAGAACTTAGGTGTTTAATTCAGGGACATGGATTCTTCTACTGGAATTAGACACCTGCTTATAACAGCACCACCATCCCATTGTGAGCTTAGGTTTAATCCATCGCTCAGACTAACCTCCTTTTTGGTGTTGGGAAAGGGGCTAGCAAGCTCACTGAAAAGTAGAGATCACCTTAGGAGTTGTCCCCGTCTTGTGGAGTGCGGAACTGCTTTGTTCCATTTCCCAAAAGACAACTTTTAGAGGCAATAAAACAGAGCACTCATTGGCCTATATTTTCTCCCATCTCAAAAAACAGATTATCTGGTTGTTGATGAGCCCAAGGAACTGAAATATCTAAGTCAATAGGATTTTTCTTCTGCCATAGCTGCTTTCCAAGGTGTTTCTGCTCATTATAAACAAGATGCAGGAAGGAAATCACAGAAGTAGCTGTGTGTTTTAATAACAGACCTCATTTTGGGCTTCCCCACCCTTGCAGTCACAATCCTCCTCTAACCTGGTCTGAGATTGCCAAAACCAGTAATCCCAGCAAGCTGCTTCTTACATAACTTCCACCTCCCATCACTTCTCACACGTGTACTTGACCACTGGCCTAGCGATTGTCCTAGACACTAAATCCAGTAAATCTAGTCATTACTGTTTTGGGCATGTTCTTAGAATCTATACATTGATAACAGATGCTCATGGGGGCAATCGGACTGTAATTTATCCTGCAGTGCCTTCTTTGCACTAACACCAGTGTAGCAGTTTCCTTACATGTGAATCCCTGCATTAGCTGTAGGAAATGAAAGGCTCAAGAGAAGCACTATATCTGATCAATATCTATCTATATCTGATCAATAAGGAAAAAATGGGGTAAAACTTTATATAAGCATAAACTTTACAAGTAAGTTTAACAATTTTGAGAATGCAGACACTGACACCGTTGAGTCTAGATACAAGTCCAGACTATAACTAAAGAATATGTAGAAGAAAACCTCTATCAAGCCATAGCTAACAACTTAGAAAGGATCCTCTCTCCCAGCAAATTTTATCCTTTAGAAAATCATTTACTAACTGTATGTTTTAAAATCCATTCGATTTTGAAAGATACAGAAAAAAAAAAAAGGCAAAACGAAAGTCACAAGTTTCCAATCTAGAGGAAACTACTGCCATCCTATAAAAAGCTTTTCAGACGTCTTGGAGGTCTGAAAAAAATCAAGGTCTCATTCTTCAGAGACTGGATCTCAGAAACTGTTGCTGTACAACAGAAACTGTAAAGTATTGGAGGAAGAAGTATTAATACATATATCTTCCTCTTCTGTCAATTCTAACATCAGTCTTAATACTTGGTTATTGAAGAAAGACAAACATTTGCGAATATATGATAGCAGGATCTGAGAGAATCAGTAAGGAAAATTCAAAGATGTTTCATATGCAGAAGTAAAATTTCCTGTTTGGCCACGTTTACAACTTGGCCCTTAAGAACAGATCCTCTGCTTAACAGCAAAGATAGAAAAAATATTGGCAGCAGTAATAACATTACGTTGAGAAAACCCAGTACCTAAGGCAACTAGTTAATGACTGGTATTGCATAGACAAAGTAGAAGGCCTGGGAATGAACTTCACTTGTCTGAATGATGAAGCAGCAGCAATTTTAGGTTTTACTGGAAACCAGAATTATAGTTAGTTCCACTGCCAAGGACTGACTAGGCAGGCAGCCAGAACAAGGCAAGCAATGAAGTGAACCATAAAATTAACTATGGAAGGAAAGGCTCTTTTGGTATTTTGGGAACACACAACAGTGTGCACTTCACCTCCCATATTCCAGACTTTCGCCATCAAAACAAGAAAACTGTGTTTTCATGCCTGAGATACCTCATTGTTCGAGGATTTATCAGGTACTAGTCTGCTAGTGACAGTCTTTGTGGTAAATGTAAAGGTGATATTTAACTATTAAAATCTCACACATGCTAAGGAATCAACTGTAAAGCTGTTCTTCAGTATGTAGTATTAGCTGCTCATTTTTGGTCAGCCTTACCTGTACCTTTGTCACTCTGTCATATGAAGCACTGCGTAACTGAGCCTAGGAGAGAGATCTCATTTTGCATAAGAAAACTGGGCTGATCTCACACTCTGGGCCATTATCATTCCTGTTTTTTACCCTTCTGCAATGCTGAACTAACTCAGGGAAAAGAGATGAGCCCAGCACAAAGAAACAAACCTAAAGGAAGGGACCTGGCAAGTCTGTCTATGAAAAACAGAGGCACAAAGTAACTCTCAAGAAGTGTACACCTGGAAAGGCCAGCTAAATTGCAGAAACCTTTACTAGGGACAGATGAAAAAACAGACTGCTGGTGAGCAAACATTCTGCATGTAACCCTTCTTTTCTTTACCATTCCCCACGGTCCTCCATATACTCCTCTTAAGAAAAACGGTTTTGTTTTCATCACAGAATGAGCCTAAACCTCACCGACAGATCTAGCATCACCTATACAGAAAACTCCTGCTCTCCTGCTCATTATCCCGCAGGAGTGAGAAAAAAAAAAAAAGGAAGAAAAGCACAAAGTTTGAAAATTATGCTAAATTTCTCATCTCCTTTGTGAGATTGACCAGCTGCTTAGTTGTTTAGTTGTACAGATCAGACAGGCAGCAAAACAGAAACTAAAGAGAACTCCAGGAAAACGCCCAAGAGGGCTTCGCAACTAGAAGCACTGTAAGGGAGAAACTCTCATTGACATCTGTTTATCATTAAGCCAATGCATGACATGAGAATGACCACATGCCGAATGACTTGGTGTTATTGCCATTGAACACTCCTCTAGCACGTTAACAAAAACAAACAAGTTTTCTAAACTGAAATACACAGAACTTGGTTGACCAGTACAGTACTAGTATAATACATGCCTGCCATATTTTACTTTTTGTGGTATTTTTCTTCCCAATTTTAAAATACTTATTAACTACCACTGAGGACCTACTTGTAGCTAAGTTCAGGCATGGAAGCCAGATTTTTCCAAGCTCCTTTTTAAAGCTCCAAAGGTAGAACTCTCATATGCCCAGTAGCTTGGTAAAGCTTGCAATGGGCTTGTCTAAATACATGATTTTGGATAACAGTTTGAGTAAGACATAATTTTCCAGACTTAACCTTTAAATCAGCTATGCTACAGATATAACAGGCTCATCAAAGAGAAAAATGTATCTTATAGCTGTTCTCCAACAAGGTTTTTAAAGCTAAGTTTTGACAAAATTGTTATGTTTGCTTCATACAGAACTAAATCATGGCTCTTTTATGACAGTTTTAGAAAAAATTTTGACAGAGAACTCCAACTGGTGTGCTGTGATGAGGCTGGATAGCCTGGGCGAATGAAACCCAATGGATCTGTGTAATGAGCTAAACTTGCAACATACAACCCTCTCTCTCCACCCCCCATAAAAAAACAAATTACTTCAAGTAGAACCAACTCTTTGTACTCAGAGAAATTCTCCTTCCCACACCAAACCCAAATCCTCGCACCTGAATACTTCTTAACTACCTCATGTCTGCACCATAGTTCCTTCAGGATAAATCTCCTGAGCTTGAGACACAACGAGACAGTATTTCCTCACTGAAGGGAGAAACCCAAGCCTCTCTTTTGCCACAGTGAAGTGGCTCAGCACTTCCTACAGATAGACGCACTTGGAGAGTGATGAAAACTAACAGCAATAAATTGCACAATACAAGGGGCAAGTCTGCTTGCACTGGGAAACACAGCTGGAGAGAAGTAAGGGCTCCTGTACATTTTACAGTGCTACTATGAAAATATATTAACAAAAGGCACCATAAAAATATGCAGAAAAAAAGTTACTGTATCAACCACTAGCTAATTAAACTGTAAGTTTTTTGTAAAAGATTCTAAAAGTACTAAATAATGCACAATTCCATCATTTCTCTATTTGCTCCTTCAGAGCGCATCATTAAAAGAAACCTCTGCTTATCTTCCAAGTTTTCCGTATCCTCTTTTCTTCTCCTTCCTTCTCTGAGCAATTCTATTTGCAAGTGTCACTGCTACATCTGCTGCAATGATTATAAGCTCTGTATGTTCTCTTCTCAGCTTTATGTCCTGCAGAGCTTGACAACAGAGTTCACATCACTGCTCAGGACTTATAGACATTGCCGCAGTACCAAGAAATACAAGAAACAGTATGACTGAGGATTCATCTAGAGTCAAGACCCTGCAAATCACTGAATTACTTAAAAAATCAGAATTAAAGAAAGACCTTCGTAGTATGATTTACACAGATAGAAATGTTTGTAGCATTCACAGTTATAATTATAACTCCAGCTCCTAGGAAAGTTAAATAGTCAAGGCATCTTAAGACTTGCTTTAACTTGAAAGTTAATTCAAACTGAAATAGCTTCATGATTAACAACAGAGAGTAAGTTTATCCCTGAACGACTGCCTGGGAAAACAATTCACTAAGTTACTGTAATGCAGTAGCTGTTTGGACTTGCCTGCATTATGAAGTTTTGCCATTGCAGAATATAAGTGATAGAGTCTCAAAACTGAGAAAATGGTACCTTGAGTGACTGGAGAGCAAAAACACACATTTTAAGGAGAAAGAGAGGATAGAGCAACAAAGTCCAAGTTGCAAATATTACCCTTTCTGCATGATACCAAGTGCATTCAGACAAACGAAATTTCTCTCCTTCGTCTTAATAAAGGCAATGCAATGTCTATAATGTAGACTATACCTTCATTTTTTTTTTCTCTTAAAGGTGCTCATATAAAATCCAATTACAAATACTCCTTCTTTTTCTTCTTTTAACATTTTAGAGACAGGCCCGATCTACTACCAGTAGCAAATGTGCAAACAGCATTCTGGAAATTTAACCTTGAACTCTCTTCTCTGGATATATGCAGAGATTTTTTTTTTCCTTTATATTAGATATGTAGCTAAGTTGCAAGACATAAAATTTTGGTCCTGCTGCTTAATGGCACATGCAGAAACAAACCAACAGACAAGCTGAATCTTACATCGATGAGGCAAATGGGAAACAAGCAAACAAAAAAACCCCAAAACCCTGTGACTTCACTGCAAGCTATGACAACTTTGCATGACCAGATTGCCAAAGGTAATTTTATAAGTTACTTCATCTCCTTACCAAAGAGGATAATTTGATTAAGCATATAACTCTCAGAGGAGTTACAAATGAACAACCATAAGCAAATGTTCAAACATTTACCTTGATGGGAGTGTGCAGTCCTCAAGGAGAACAGTACTGCCAGAAAGATGAAATGATTCATCATTGATCCTCCATTTCCTTCTATCAGGAGAAAAGGCATTTCTATTTATTTGTTTTAGGAGAAATGCATGCCAAACAATAGTCTAGATTTTATTGTTATATTTTAAAAAGAAAAACAAAAAGAAAACAAAACAAAAATGAAGTACCCTGGCAATTTATGCAGAATTCAGGAAGAATGGAAACAGAAAAATCAGAAAGATCCAGAATTCAAAAACCCTCTTGTTTCAGGACCTGCTTGCAGTATAGCATAGTTTGCATATTCCCAGGGAAAGATTGTCTTGGCATGTGTTTGTCTTTTCTTATGCACAAGTAGCAAGAAATGTATTCTAAAACCAAAAAAGCAGTGTCAAAGTAGCCAAAGGCGTTGTGGTTTCCAGAACCCAATTCAGCTCCACCTGGGAGTCTGACTGAAGAGTCCTACCAACCTCAGTGACGAGCATGGTTTTCAGTCAGCAGCAAGGCACTGCGTGTAGGGTTCCAGTTGGGCTGGAGTTGAAATACACACATCAAAGTCTTAGCAACTTCCATTCCTAGAAAAATTGTCTTCTCAATCAATGAAAAGTCCCATCTTGCAATCCTTCTGCAGGTGCAGTCTCTCACTTCAACAGGCTGAAACTCTGTTTGGCCTGCGCTGTTCAGTCCTGCCAGACTGAGCTACTTCAGATGTTGCAAGACATAAATCATCTGCAAATTCTCCAGTATAGAGGGAAGATGTACAGAGAAGTCACAGAAGGTTGAAGGGTCGTTAGCATCAGCTATGAAACTTTTGGCAGCAGTATGGTTAAAGCTCACAGACACAGAGGGTACAGAAGACCAGATGACAGTAACAGGAACACACAAATACAATTATCTCGAACTTTCCGTTCTCCATTTTACATTTCTGGAGCTATGTATCAGCTGAATACTGATAGAGTGTCTTCTTCCACAACATCAGCAGAGGAGATAATGCAAGCAGGAACTGCGTAAAGTAAAAGATAACTAGATGACCTTCTGTCCACATTAAAGCCAAGGACAGAACATCCATTGATTTCAGAAAGGCCAAGAATTCACTCCAGAATTTCTTCCCAAAAGAAAATCACCAACTTAGTACCTCAGAACTGAAAATATTTAAGGTTAATGACTCTGTCTTTGATCCACTGTGTTTTGGAGAAACTCTGAATTTCTCTGATGGTTCCAAAAAAAAGATTTCAGCTCTTTTCTGCCAATCTGTCAAGGACATTGTTGAATGCTAAATTCAGAGGTGCCTCTGAGTGGCGCTCTTTCCTGACAGCATTATCAACTAGTCTCATCAATTGGTGTCATCCATGGGCTTGATGGTCCAACTCCACTACACAGGGAGTTGAAGAAGATGACAAACAGCGCTGATCCAAGCATCAGTATTAATCCCCAACAAATAACACCCTAAGTGTCCATCAAACAGACTTTGATGTGCTGATCTCTGCTTTTAAACATAATGGTTCAGAAAGGTTTTCTCCCACCTTGTAATATACCAGTCCAGTCCCTGTAATCTTAATTTGGCCACAGGATGATCTCTGGAAGATCATTAATATCCACTGTTCTCCCCTTGTTCATAGAGTCTACCATTTCAACCTAGAAAGCAATCATGTTGGTCACACACTCTTTGCCCTTGGTAAATAAATGCTATCCATTCCCACAAATTCTTGTTCTTTGTGTGCCTGGAAACAGCTTTCAGGAGAACTTGCTTAGTAATCTTCCCAGGGGCTGAGGTGGGGCTGGCAAGAGAGTAGTTCCCCGGTTTTTAGTCAGCGCAGTGAGAGTTGTGGGAAGAGCTAATCATGAAGACCCTCTCAGCTAGAAAACACCAGGCATAGCAGGTGACTATAAGCTAAAAGAAAACCTATGCAAATATCTGCAGCTGAATTATGGATTAAAGTTTAGCAATACAGCACCAAATGTAGCTTATGAAATTTAATTTCTAACATTTCAATATCTATAGGGGAATAAAGAAAACAGACGTCTTGTGAATCCCTAGCCTGTACCACTATGTTTTTTACTTGTGAATATACACTCTCATACTAATCATACTGATGAGAAAAATTCCTCTTGCCATGTAACCTGGGTTGTGATAAGATGGATACCACTGGATTTAGGGCTCCCCACTCCGTCTTGGAACTAATAAATATTGATAGAGAGATACATCAGTAGTGTAGAACTGTTTTTTTTTTTTGTTTGTTTTCTTTTTGAGAGCTAACAACAACTATGATAACATTCAGCAGCAATAGGAATTTTTCAGAGACCCAAAAATCTAAGAACAATCATTCCAGAAGCAGAGAGAGTATGAGAAACATTACCTTAGGAGAACATGAAATTTCTTTCGGTTGGCAGCTGGGGAATAGTTTAAATAAACACCTTCAGGTAAGTTGTTTCTGCTTCAGAGCAAAAGACTTGCTTAGGTGAAGTCCCATCTGGCCCAATACTTTTGTGATTCTATGGACAAGAGAGGGGAAAAAAAATCCTGATTATTCATCTAGCAAATATGCCAAGATAAATATTTCATCAACTCTCTCTTCAAAAGCACCAAAATTCCATTGAAAGCTCTTTAAGATCAGACTTTTGAAATTCAGTAGCCAGTGACTTGGAGCTGGAGCTACAGAGGCACATACATTACTGCAGTACGAAGGAGCAGAAGCCTATAGCTCTGGAAGGACCATAGCCTGTGACAAGGAAGTCCCAGCTACGAACATCTAACATTATCTGGCCCCAGAGAACCCCTGTCTTCATTCATCCCCGTAAAGCTGCATATTTCAAACCAAGCTTTATACAACTTTCAGCACCCTTTGCTCTGCTTTTTTTAAAAAAGCTGCTACTTATAACCCACATCCTGAAATGACCTTGTACACAGGCTGGGAAAATAAACTTCTCCAGTTTCTACAATCCTGTAAACACTTAGTTTAAACAGTGCATTAGACAGGGACACCAAACCATATCTCAGCTGGATAACTTTTAGATGTGGAAGACAACTAACTGTCAGGGAGGCACACACACAGACAACATAACTATACTTTGAATCTGTATCACATTTTTCAGTCGTGTTCTCATTGCCTCTGCTTTACAGGCAGACAGAGTGAGGACAGGAACCACGACTCAAATTCACACCATACAGTACACACCATGTGTGTGTCTAACACAACTAATGTGTTAAGCTTCATAACTTAAATACCATAAGCTCATTTTAACAGCCATCATAGAGAAAGAGGAGCTCCTTTCTCCTCCATGGAAAACCTCCATGGATCAGTGGGCTAGCTCATCCTCTGCAAATGTTTATTCCTCTTATGCACAGAGATGATGAGCTAAGTGCCTAAAATGAACTAGACTGCCCTAACCCAGGGATTCATACAAAACCATGGCACTGGGGTGTAACTCCGCTCTCCCAACTCCTACAATTCCCCACAGTCTTGGTAAAGCAACATTTGCCAGAGCATCCTACCAAACAGCCCCCTTTTTCAAATACACGTCACACTTTATCCAAAACACGGTTTGCAACAGTTCTGAGTTCTGAGAAAACAAATAGCTGAAATGCCAAATTCTAAAGTGGATGAAGCCTTCCTTTAGCCTTGCATGCAATGTTTTTTCTTCCAGGCAATTTTAAATATGATTTCAATTACTCTTAGTTTATTTACTGGAAGTATGCCTGTATGCAAGATGCTGAAAGGACCTAATGCACCTTTATGATCTAGATGGGTGAACATCAGGTTTTAAAAAGCTGCATGCAGAATATCATTAAGACTTGATAGACATATAATCATTTAATTACTTAAGGAGAGTGGTTTTGTTGTTGTTGTTGTTTTTGTTTTGAAAAATAGAAAGCTCTTTTATGGCATGTGGTCAGGTTTCTAAAGAGCTTTGTCAAAACAGGAAAATATTATGTATTTTATGGTCCCATAAAAATTTCAGTGCTAACAAAAAGGCAATTAAATAGAGAAAAAAAAAAAAAAAAAGAGTACTCAAACTGAGAGCAGCTACTCCTGCCCAAACAACTGGCAAAAAAGGCCAAAAGTCATAAAGAAGTAACTACACAGCACTACGGCTGCTCATAGCAAGGCAGAGTAATTTCACCATTTCTAAGGCACGATCTGCTCCTAGTGCTGCTAAGATCCAGCTTTCTCTGTTGGAGTAGAGAACGGTCCAGGCTTGATGTCTTTAAACAGCGAAATAGACTTGAAAAGGTTATACCCCCCAAAACAGTCGAACCACAGAGAATACAGGAACCATACTGGAATATCTGGCATCTTCCCCTTTACTCTGAAGCTCCAGTGAAAGTCGGGGAAGCCTTAGCCCGTATGGGGCCCTTCATCCCTGCAGCCCTGCGACCCTTGACGGGATGGACATGTGCACTTGGGACCCCGGCACGCACCCACTCTGCTAGAAACGAAATTCCTGGCAGGGTGGGAAGCCCTCCCAAAGGGCAGGTGCCCCCCGTTTGGGCTCAGAGCGGCACTTTTATGCAATCTTGAAGCAATGCATGTAGGAGTGGAGTAGCAGTGGGGAAGGGGGCAAAGAGGTGGCCCCGGGGAGAAGCAGGGTGTCACGCTGGGCAAAGGACCAGCAGCATCCCGAAGCACCAGACCCGAGGTTACCGCGCCGTGGAGGGAGGGTGGGACTTTCTCCACGGCGGGGCCGGCGTTAGGACAGGGCTACGCGACGGTGGTGAGGGGACGGCGGAGGTAGGCTCCCTCCCTCCCTCTGTCCCTGATCGCCGCCAACCGCTGCCTCGTCAGGCAGGAAGAGAGACCAGGGCTCCCGTGTCCTGTGTCGCGCCGCCACGCAGCCCCCCGGGTGCTGCACTTCTGCCCATGGAAGATTTAACCAACCAGAAGGGCTGCTTAAACCCATTACTTGTCCTTTTTGAGGTGTTCGTGATGAAGGTTTCTCCAGTTTGTAGCCTTTTATGCCTGCTTTTCCCTCAGCAGCTCGCGTACATCTGTGGGTTGGGTGATCCTGGCACTGTGCACATCGCTTTCCAATTCCCACTGTTTCCCATCC